GGAAAGAAAGAAACAAGGAATGAAGTAAGGAAGGAAGGAAGGAAGGAAGGAAGGAAGGAAGGAAGATTTTGTGCAAGGACAGAGAACGAAAATCTATAAGCAAATGCAAACGGCCCCATGCAAATGGGAAGGCCATGTGTTGAGGGGAACAGAGACAAACAGGTGCCACTGGCGCATCAGCTGTGAGCAGACAGTGGTGTCGCTTGTTCAATGTTCTCCCTGCTGTCAAGGCCACTCAGCTCAGTGACAGCCTGGCTTCTCACTGCGGTGGGGCCTTGCTTTGTGCCATTTCTCTGACAGGTGAGCATGTTGGAGCGCATGCCAGATGTTTTCGTGGCCATGGGCCAGTAGAGGGCAGCACGGCCCCAGTTTCAACCCTAACCACCACCTTTATCCATTATCCATTGAACGTGCAATTTTCTTCTGGCTTAGAATTAAGAGAATTTGCAACTTAAAAAAAAAAAAACCAAAAACAAATAAGTGACAAATGTAATCCATTCCGGCCAGGCCTTGGGAAGTTACTTTTTTTTAGTTATGTCCGAATTTATGTCAGCAAATACTTAATACAGCCTGAACAGGATGAATTAAGGTTGCCACCTTTTTTCATGAGAGGTGTCTCCACTTTAACACCTACATAGGAGGTGGGAACGACATGGTGTTCTCTGCGCAGGGAGCAGTTGCATCTGTTACGTCCAGCTGTCCACTGCTGGAGACAGGGGACTCAAACTGACAAACCTTTAGACGGAGGGGATTCGTCTCTTCGGCTTTCAGCTGTTCCCTTTCGGGTGGAGGAGACCATGTTCTGGCCCTCCCGTGTGGCACGTTAAACATTGCCAACCCATCGAGAGCAGCAAAACACACTCTCCAAACCATGTCAAGGTATACAGGACCTTAAAGCAGCTGAACACTTTTTTTTTTTTTGGCCCACCAGCATCTCTTCCCCCTCCCTGGAGAAAAAAAAATCTGTCAAGGTATACAGGACCTTAAAGCAGCTCAACACTTTTTCTTTTTGGCCCACTAGCATCTCTTCCCCCTCCCTGGAGGAAAAAAAATCCAATAATACTACGCTAACGATAATATGCTGTGCTAAGTCTATGCAAGGAGATCAGGCAAAATCCAAAGGAACCGAACCGAACCAAAAAGACAAAAGCGTCTTCTTGAGGGATTTTTGCAACAGCACCCTAAAACAAGCATCGGCCTAATTACAGCACGTAACCAATGAACATTTAGAATGGGAAATGGATCTTTCATCTACATTTCACCCAACATTTCCTTCTGTTTCTTTGTGTCTGACGAAGTGGACATGTCCACCAAAGCTTACAAAGAATCTTTCTCAATTATTTCATCTTGATAATCTATATATGCATCTGTTAGTAGGTTTTATCATTATGTATCTTATTGTATTGCATTTTATTTTATTGTATTGTATTACTCCTGCAAGCCGCCCTGAGTAGACTTTGTCTAGAGGGGCGAGGTATAAGTCCAAATAAAGTACATTAAAATATAATAGTCTTTAAGGTGCCCCTTGGTTTTCTCTTGTTTTGTTCCTTTGTGTTTTGCCGGATAGGTTATATTTTAATGTAAGCTTCCGTGGACCCATCCACAGCTCCTGCCGTGAGTGGAGATTGCCCTCTCGTGGCTGAAAGACTTGCCTGCACAGTTCTGCAAAGCGAAGCGGACAGACCAAGAGTCTTCCCGCACTCTGAAGATTGCTAATTTTCTTTATGGACTGTGCCCTGCCTTTCCAGAGGCACTGCTTGGTCTCAGTGGAAATAGAAAGGGAGCCTCTGTGACCATCTCATGGCCGGAAATCATAGAAGAGTGAAGTTGGAAGGGGCTTATAAGGCCATCAAGTCTAACCCCCTGCTCAAGGCAGGAATACAAATCCTGTGGTGACAATGCTTCTGGGGGCCGGGAGAGACGGCTGGTTGAGTTCCTCCAAGTCTCAAGGCTCTGAGTAAAGTCTCAGCTTCTCCAGATTCTTTTTTTTTTCAGGGGTGGGGGAAATCTCAATGCAAGCAGCACCAGACAAGAGGAAAATAATGTTTTGGTTTTATCAGTTCCAAACAAAGACACAGTTAAAAACTCAGTGTTTTATTGGTCGCACACAGCAATTTGTTAATTTAAACAAACAAAACATTTGCAGTATAAAAAAACAGGACACGGGAAAACCCGAAGCCTCACCTCCCCACATGGCCACGAGTCGAGACCCCCGGGGTTTAAGGTCTGGCTTCTTCCTGCACCAACGTCTCTGCATGCAAGAAAATGCAGTTTTTAAGTCACAGCTGTGGACGTGGAAAACCTCACCTCTCCCAGGATGGAAGCCCCTTCTCCTCCGTGGGTCACACAGCCCAGGTTGTCCTCTGAGAAAAACACGGGCGTCTCCCACACTTTGGGCCTCTTCACGACAGAGGAGGTGGAAACGGAGGTGAGATACCGAGAGGTGGAGGGGGTCATCATCGATGCAATGGCATGTGATGGTGGGATTCTCCTCCCGGATGATTCTTAAAAGATATTCGCCCGTTGTCAGAAAACAGGAAAACTGGCTACGTGCTTACGAGGACCCTGATGGGTTGCACCAGGAGTATAAAATAACTCTGTCCCTGAGGTAAACAAGGAAGGAAGTTCTAACGGGCAACATGCGATGGTTCTCTAGCAGGATTCTTCCCCTGGATTTGTTGGGATTTGAACCAGGTCCTTCCCAACAGAAGGCGGCAGTTCTGCCACGGAGCCTCTGCTCTTCCACGACACGTCCTCCTCCTGCAGCGGCTACGTGGTCCGGTCCTCTCCAGCTACCTGCTGATGCCTTCTGATGGATAATTCTACAATGTGGACGTCCACAAGGACCAGAGAAGGGAGGGTGTTGTACAGCTCATGTTGTCTCTGGGTTTCAGGACTGGCAGACTGAGGACGCACCCCTTGGTGCAATTATCTTAAAAGGGGGAAAAATACACCCCACTGACCCACCCACACAAAGGGGGAAATCTGTGCGTATTGAAACTTTCAACAGTGTTGGAAGATTGTCCAATACAAAAGGCAGCTAAATGATGGGACTTATAAGTGGCTTGGGTCAGCGGGTAGAGCTTGATCGTGTTGAAAGACTATCCAGTACAAAAGGCAGCTAAACGATGGGACTTATATAAATGGCTTGGGTCAGCAGGTAGAGCTTGATAAAGATAGAATTAAACTAAGAGGTAACTGCAAGTGAAAATCTGGAAGGGCCATCGTGTAGAAAAGGCAAAAAGTAGTCTTGAGATTGTAATGCAAAAAAGAGGATTTGAGGACTGTATATTTGATGTTTTCCTTCTCTCCCCTCTTTTTTTGGTCCATTTCCCTTACCTTATGTACCCCTATCCCTAGTTTTTAAAAAATTTAAATTAAAAAAGGGTGGGGGATCTGCGGGAACAAGAATAATGTCTCAAAAGAACAGAGACAGTATTCTGACCTCGTGCGGAGACCCATGAACATAAAAGGCCGCGGAAGAATAAAGTGTCGTAAAAATCAGCTGCTCGGCTGGCCAGCCAGCCACCCTACATTCTGAGAAGAAACATACAACTGGGCACAGCTTCACCATCGGAGTAAAATCGCTTTGAAACCGCCAAGCTGCTAGTCCTCATGACTGTGAAGATAGGCCTGAAGGAGTGCAAACCATCCCCAGAGATAGACAAGGGGATTGTCAAGATTTTTCTGGCCATTTTGAGGCGAGGCGTTTCAAGGCAGCAAAACAAAACTAAGCAATGCCACGTAATTTTGAAACGAGGAATAGAAATAAATTATGCACCGTACCCATATATTGCAGACGCCTCTCTCTATAGGTAGTCTACTCAGGGGTAAGCCCCACTTGAGTTCAGTGGCACTTACGCCCAGACATTTGTGCTCAGGATCATGACCTTAGGTACTTAACAGGGTTCTTGATCGCCCACCAAACAGAAGGCTCTTCCCTTGACAGCATCCTGCACCCAGGAGGAGAGATCTGCAGACACAGGCGCTTGAGGGACCTGCCTCCAGGCTCCGTGGATCCGTCATTCTGTTGCTTTGTAGTAAAATGGACAAGTTCTCAGAATAAATAGCATGGCTTCTGTCTATCAACCCAAGCTTTGGGGTCTCTGGGGATGAAAGGGTCGGCCTCCGGTTGTCTCCTTCATTCCATCTTGTACACGTAGCTGTCCACCGTTGGGATCTCAAGGTCTCGCTCCTTGACCGGATCCACCATGTTCTTATATCGTTCTCCGCGGTGTGACTCCAGGGTCGGCCCCCAGGTGGGTAAAGGCTTGCAACAGGTGACGATCCGCTGAAGGGGAGTGGAAAAAGAGGAGAGGGTTTGACTCAACCCGGGAGCACCAAAGAGTGAAGGGTGGAATGTCCGGTGGAACTCTGTGCCACAAGATGCAGTGGGAAATGGCTCGGAGGGTTTTAGAAAAGGAGAAAGCAAGGATTCCATGGCACAGAGGAGACTCACCTGCCACAAGGTGCCTTTGGCTTTCACTATCTTGTAAATCGCAACAACAGGGATCCAGATGAGACAGGACATGATCATGCACCAGCCGACCGCAGATCCCCAGGTTGGGTATTTGACGCTGCCATACATAGGAGCCGAAAAGGTGACCAAAGACCAGATCAAGATGGCCTGTTTGGGCAACAGAACAAGAGGGAGGAGACCATGATCAATATTTGGACTCTCTGAGCCGAACAACATGAGTGTCAAGACTGTGGATGCCCCCTTCAGCTGTGGGGCTTCCCCACTGCTCCGCATCTGAGCAATCGATCAGGCAGGCACCTGAAGGCTGGTTTTTCCCTTCCGACGACCAATCAGAAAATAAAACAAGCTGGTCAGCAAGAGACAGAGGCGAGGAAAGGCGACCTGCTAGGAGAGAACAGCCGTCTCTCTCAGCACCTAAGAAACAGCTCTTCCCAAGGATGGGCTGAGGACCTCACCTAGCCTGACCTTCTGCTTTTGAGTAAGTAAACCCACAGCCAGGGAAGGTCTGATCAAGGTTAACACTGTGCTTGGCAGTGCCGAGGACGGCCCTTTAGACTCCGTTTACAGAGTGCCAAGGAGAAAATGTTCTTTGAGCTTCAGCCCAATATCGATACACATTCTTTCTTCCTTTGCAGGGGGGACCCCCTTGGAGACGATGCTGGAGGTTTTGAAAGAGAGGAATCTCACGCCAGGCGGCAGGCATGGAGGACCAATGGATGGAAGCGATGACCTTCCAAGTGGCCATGAAGCAGAGGTGGCGTCTCACCCAGCAGTGTGAGCGTGCGTGCATGCCTATCACTTTATCCCCAGATTTCTGGGGAGATGCCCCTCTAGCGACAGTTCCAAGGCGTCCAGGCCATTAAAAAGCCCCCCCCCCATCCTGTGCTGTTTGTCCTGCCTCCCACACTCAGAGGCTGGCATGAGGTTGCTCTTTAGCTATCGCAGCTCTCCCGTTGGAGTTGCAACAGAACGTTGCAGTGCGAAGAACGGCTAAGAGCTCCTGTCTGTCAGCCAGGCCTTTCTCAACAATTATCCCTTCCTCCCACAATCTCTCACATGGTTTTGCCCATCTCCCTTGTCTGAGCTCTTATTATTATTCAAAAATACTAAGCATGGTCAATCAAAATTAAAACCTTGACTGGTGTTGACTGGTAGGGTGACATGTTTGCAAAAATCAATGATTTTTTGAATTGGAGGAAACCATTTTTAGCAACGACTGGCGATTGTTTTAAATGGAGAGCCCAAGACTCAAGTTGCTGAAATTTGTATGAAGAGGAGAATGACCTTACCTTGCTTCCATATTCTTGGGATTCCTCGCCATCCTCATCAGGATGGTGAGTGCTCCAATCCATGGAGGCATCCAGAGAAAACTGGACAGCCACCTTTCAGATCGGCTTTGATTCAGATTCCTGCCTTGAGCAGTGGGTTGGACTAGATGGCCTTAGAAACCCCTTCCAACTCAATGATTCTAGGAGTCAATGATTCTATCATCAGTATCATCATTGTCGTCATCTTCTACTCTACCTTTCCATGACTAAATATAATTCAATAAAAGCAACGGTTTGAATGAGCCGGGGAAGCCACCAAAGGATGTTTTTTCAGAAAAGGGGCTGGCCTTGTAGGGATCACAGGAAGGTCAGGCTGGGACTAGAGGAAGGCCAGATTCTGCACCAGGGCCTAAGGCTCACCACCCCTGCTTTAAAAGAACATGCATTGCTGGATCAGGTGGGGATCTTGGCTCCTTCTAAGAGCAACCTCACATCACAAGTGCGAACTTGGTCGAATCGGTTCCTCTTGGTGGCAGAAATCTCTTGCTGCCCGTGGTGGCTACTTACGAGTAGGAGGCAAGGGGTGATGAAGAACCAGCATGCTCTCCACCACAGCCAGAAGAGGAAGCTTTTCTTCCCAATCATCATCTCGATGTCTTCGATAAAACGGTTTCCTCCTGCACGAAAGGGACCACAGATGGCAAGGTTAAAATCATGCCCGGGAATAGTCATCATCCCTCAGCTGCCTCCAGGACGTCCTGCAGAGATTGGACTTAGATCTGGCAAAAGACTTGGCCAGAACAGGATTTGTCCCCTCTTTCGAAATGGGGGTGGGGGAGAAAAATTAAATCTTCAACAGAGAAAAGAGCCTCTCATCTTTGTCCAGCCTTCCAATATCTACTCTAGTTGGCCAAGGCTGTCCGGGGGCTTGAACAGAGAAGGGTCTTCCCCTTCACCCGTGTAACTGGAGATACCGGGAACAGAACCTGGATTTTTAAAAATGATTGGGAAAGTTCCTTTTTTGGACTTTGCCGGAACCATGCTGTCCGACGGTCTCTTTTCTATGGTCTGCATCAGTTCATCTCCATGCAAAGAGCCCTGAGACCCTTCTTACGGGGAGATGGAGCCCCATAAGGAGATGGTTTTCGGCAGAGCCATTTAAAATAAAGCAGTGCAAGAGATTCAGACGGATCTCAAAGCCCAAATCAGGCACCAATGCTTACCATAAATCCAGCAGATTCCTGCCAGCTCAAGGACAGCCGCAAAAAGGATCCCCCAGCCAGCACAGAAATGATCCACCAGGTTGACCCAGTAGATTCCTGCCTGCAAGAAGAGAGGAAAAGATGAATTCCCCACAGTTCTCATAAAGGGTTCATCCTTCCTCACCCTTGAGATGAAAAATCCCCAGAATTGATCTTTATAGGCCAAGAAACCCAGCTCATTGTTACTCCATGTTGAAGTATGGATCATTGTCTTGCAGATCCAGGGCAAAATCAGCACCCGATTCATGAGTAAGGGGCAAGTAACAGTCTGAGATTATGGGCTGATTTCTAAGCACAAGAAACTGCAAATAAAATAAAAGAATTCTGTTACTCTATTGAGAGGCCATATAGTATTACTAAAAGATCGACCCCCTCTTCCTCCGAGGTGCCTTCCAATTCTGCAGTTCTGTGATCTCCATCAAGAGGATTCAGAGCAATATCAAAAGAGAGGGGCGGGGAGGCTGCATCAGTTCATCTCCATGCAAAGAGCCGATCTGTCCCATAAGGAGATGGTTTTCAACAAGCCCAAATAAATCTGGCCAGAGCCATTTAAAATAAGGCAGTGCAGGAGATTCAGACGGATCTCAAAGCCCAAATCAGGCACCAATGCTTACCATAAATCCAGCAGATTCCTGCCAGCTCAAGGACAGCCGCAAAAAGGATCCCCCAGCCAGCACAGAAATGATCCACCAGGTTGACCCAGTAGATTCCTGCCTGCAAGAAGAGAGGAAAAGATGAATTCCCCACAGTTCTCATAAAGGGTTCATCCTTCCTCACCCTTGAGATGAAAAATCCCCAGAATTGATCTTTATAGGCCAAGAAACCCAGCTCATTGTTACTCCATGTTGAAGTATGGATCATTGTCTTGCAGATCCAGGGCAAAATCAGCACCCGATTCATGAGTAAGGGGCAAGTAACAGTCTGAGATTATGGGCTGATTTCTAAGCACAAGAAACTGCAAATAAAATAAAAGAATTCTGTTACTCTATTGAGAGGCCATATAGTATTACTAAAAGATCGACCCCCTCTTCCTCCGAGGTGCCTTCCAATTCTGCAGTTCTGTGATCTCCATCAAGAGGATTCAGAGCAATATCAAAAGAGAGGGGCGGGGAGGGAGCAACAAAGAGCAATTCCACCATGGAATAATAGATCTGGAAGGAACCTCGACACGAGAATCATACTCATCTCTCGGTATGGCTCTGGGGCCCCCTGTATGTGGCTGAGCTGAAGGGACTCTGGATGCCTGAACCGCCCCTGGCGGGAAGCCTACCTGGGTGACGCAGACGAGTCCCAGGAGGAACAGCACCATGCACAAACCCAGTGTCACAGGGATCCTCATTTTCTTCATCAATGTCGGGTAGATATCTTGGATGGTGGTCGTGAGGGTCTCTGGGGAATAGAAGAGAGGGCTCCGTGAATGCCTCCTGGCCAAAAAAAAGACCTCCGCCTGACAAAGGGTTTGGCTCTGTGGGTTCCAACAGGTTCACTGCTAAAAGTGGTGCTGTTTATGTTGCCGCTGTGTAAAAAAGGGCAACAGGATTTGGGCCGTTAATTTAACTTGCTAATAGGTTTGATATGGCAGCCCTAATTAAACACATGGTCAGACTGGCCCACTGCCTTGTATAAATCGTGCTTTCATCTTGGCATCAATGGAGGTGGCAGGGGAAGCTGGACAGCAGATGTGTAGGAGACGTATAGTGAAGACAGGATACAGGATGTGACGCCAGCAGCTGTGTAAATGCTATGAATATATTCTGGATTTTGTTCCGAGCTTTACAGGGTATATCCAAGGTGCTTGACTCCATCCTCAAAATAGGTTCAGCACCTTAGATAACTCCTGTAAAAGTGGAGACAAAAACCCGGAATGGATTCACAGCACCTCCGAAACTGGAGTCGCTGGCCGGTAATGATAGCACAACTTGTTTTAATTGCTGCTTACCTATGGTGGCAAATTGAGAGTCGAGACCCAAAAGCAGAAGCATGAAGAAGAACAGAAAGGACCACAGCGGAGCGACCGGTAGCTTTGAAAGAGCTTCTGGGTAGGCGACAAAGGCCAGGTCGAAGCCTGCAAGTGGGAGAGAAGCAGGGATGCTGTGAAACAGGCAACAGAAAGCGTCTCCTCTTACTGTTACAAGGGAAGTCATGCTGCAGACCAGGGTTGGCTGGCGGGGAGCCAAACGGAGACATCAAGGTGAACCATGACTCGGATTGTCACCATCTGTCACCACCAGGTCTGCGACCCGTCATGCCTTGAGGATGTCGGAAGACAAGAAGACCTTCCCTGGAGAAGATCAAGATCTCCATGTCTTGGGCTTCCAGCTTCTCACCATGAGACCGGGATGTTCGCCCAAGGAGGCATGCAAGCAGGCCACCCACCCTCCATGTTTCTGCCACCTTGGGGGCCATGGAATGGGGAGCCAAGATTTCTTCCCTGGCTCTGAGTAGGGTATGCATTAGAAGGGTTCTTCTCCTGTCGTTCCACAACCCTACACTCCAGTGACGGGGAACACCTTGGCTTTTCACTCCAACTCCCACCCTTCCTCATTATGGGCTGTTCTGGTGAGGATGAACAAACTGCAGGTCAAGCACCCCTGGAGGGCCATAAATTCCGCCATGCTTGACCTTAACTCGAGAACATCCAAAAAAGATGATGGTGTTGCTTTGTGCTACTGGTAATTCCGCTATTCTTGAGGCTGCTGCTTCTGCCCAGGTTTTCACCCTGCCATATCCTCAACACAGACAGGAACCCATTAAAACACCATCCTTGTCACCCCAGGAACCCACCAGAATCAACCACCTCTGAGACCTCCTTGTTGGCCTGAAACGCCATGTGTCCCAGGATGGAGAAGATGGCGAAGCCGGCGAAGATGCTGGTGAGGCAGTTCGTGATGCAAACGAAGATGGCGTCAGAGTAGCAGTTGTTGTGGAATTTGTTGTACGAGGAGAGGGCGACCAACCCGCCCCAAGCAACGGAAAGGGAGAAGAAGATCTGGGTTGCCGCATCTTTCCAGACCTTGAAAGAAGAGAAAGGAGGGACATTCATTCATTCATTCATTCATTCATTCATTCATTCATTCATTCATTCATTCATTCATTCATTCATTCACTCTTCTCAAGAAGGACCCAAGGCAATGTTGGGTTGGAGGTGGCCTCTGGGCTGCTTCGACTCACCTCTGCTTCCATAAGTTTGGTGAAATTAGACTGGGTTCCGATGTAGTACTCAATGCCTTCCCGAGCCCCTTCCAGGGTGGCCCCTCGTACCAACAGTATAATGAGGACGACGTAGGGGAAGATGGCGGTGAAGTAGACCACCTGTGAGGAGCAAGGCAAAGATATCATGGTTAAGACCTGGAATGGCGAAGAGGACAGTGAAGAAGGTAGAAACAAAGGAAAGGACATCTGAGACGAAGGTGGAGTTTCTTTGAAAAGGATCCCAAGTGAACTCTTTCTCGATAGAATGCTGAGCAGAGCTTGCGAAAGCTCTGTGCAGCACAGCTCCCGGGGGCCAGGCTGATTGGGAGATTCTAGGAGGTCCTGTCCAGAAAATGGACTTTTTTCTAAACTCCAACATGTTCTCCATCTTGAACCACTTCACCCAGAGACATTCCCTCAAGACTGCTGGTCCATCAAGTCCAGCACTGTCTGCCCTGGCCTGTTTAGCTGGACAGAAGAACTTGACTGGAAATTTAGCACTCCATAATTCAACCACTGTCCCTCCTTTCATCCTAGAAGAACAGAATCAGAGATCTGAACGTGACCCAAAGTCTCATCAGTTCCCAAGCTGTACTTGATCTTCTCCCATAACTACAACACATCAATGGGCATTATCTGTTCTCCCTCTCTTGCCCTCTCTCTCATTTTCATTCACACTCCCTCACTCCCATAGGCATGGTTGTCCATGGGAACCAGGTGGGGAGAAAGGGTTGCTTTCTCCCTACGAATCCCAAATTTCATTATTGTTTTGATCCACCCAGACACCGCCACTATGTTGTAGCCGAGTGCGCTGTATGCATGGATGCTGCTCATGTACTACCATGTGCCTTGCTCCCCCTCCAGAATAATCCTGTGCCCTTTCTTGCCCTGTTCAATATTTCACTGGAATCTAAGCCTGTGTCTAAATTGCATCTATAAAAGTGGTTTGATGCCACTTCTGTTCCCAGGGCTCCGTCCTACAGAATCCTAGACACTGAGGTTTGCTGAGGTCCTTAGATTTTTCCGCTTACATGCTCCCATGCTTTATCCTGACTTCTCTTCCCCAGTTGCAGACCCCAAGATTCCCTAGGATGGAGCTGGGTCAGTTCAAGCGGTATCGAACTGTTGTAATGAAAGACGAAGACACGCTTGTAGTTCTCTCAGCTGAGATTCCCCCTCTGAAGACGTGCCATGGTCAAGAAACTCTGCCCGCAAAACTTTTCTGTTTTTTGCAGGAATTTCTTTCACAGCATTCTTGCAATAAGCTGGTGGATGGAAGAATCAAATGCCACACCAAACCAGCTTAGGGATGTTACGTTAAATGCTAATTTTAATGGAACCGCCCAACGGGGCTTCCATGCGGTGAGGTGAGGAAGGGAGTTGGCCCTATGATCTTCCACTTTGGATAATCTCTGTGCTTCAGGGTGTCATTCCGATCTTGTTGGGCCGGTTCTTCTCTCACAAACAAGCCTTTCTGTTGCTGCATTGTTGACACAGTTGGCCAACCTCTTTTGTGCTCAAGTGAACCCTCTTATTCTCTTCAGAAAACTCTCCAAGGAGCAGGGTTTTTTTTAATCCCAAGGAAAGCCAGGAAGTGGACATTAAATATCCCAAATCAAAATATGAAGTTATTGGTCAGAGTCATCGTGATGGTGAGCTGAGGGACCGATGCTCATGCCTCCCTCACACAAGGGATGGGTGCTGCTAAAGATGCCCAGATAAATAACATCATCTCTTTTATATCAGTGGTTCCCAGTCTTTGGTCCACCAGCACAGCTGGTGGTTAAGGCTTTGGGGAGTTTTAGTCCAAGAACATTTCAGAACCCACGGTTGGGAACCTTGTTCTAGATGACAACCCCCAGTGGCCATGCTCTGTGGAATATTCTGGGAGTTGTTACGTCCCCAAAAGTAATATTTCCAAGATCTGGAGGCAGCCTGTTGTGATTTTGAAAGATACCTTTCCTGAAGACTTGATTCCTTTGAATAAGGCCATCGCTACAATCAGCCAGGAAAGGAGGAGGCAGAGAGCTAAATACCAGACAACCTCCCCAGTGTCTTCTAATCCTGCCGTTCGCTGAAGGACCTTCTTGCTGGAAAACCAAAATGGAGGAGAACGTCAACAAGAAGATTGCTTAGAACGTACCTGCCACAGCTTGGAGGGTTGCGCAAAGACACAACGTGCACAGCCTCCAAGACAACTCACAAAAGCTTGCTTCAGAATAATTATTTCCCCCAGGGTTGGCAACGTCAAGGAAGGTGACTTCACTACCTTCTCCTAGAGGGGTTTGGCTTCAAGAACCAACTGGAGCCAGGCAATGTTGAAGAAGCAATGGAGGGCAGAACAAGGATGATGGTGCTTCAAAGGCCAGATCTAAAGACAGCCTTGGGAAATGCCTTCACCACTTCCAATGCTTCTTCTTCCTCCCTCCAAAATGGAGGTCCATCCAAAATATGAACTCGTGGTCATCCTGCTGGAAGTCACAGGTTCAAAGGGCCATCACCTTTTGAAGAGCAAGACACCGACACAACATGTTGCCCTACTCAAGGTTTCCTGTTGTCTCTACGTTTAGCTACAATCTTCACAGTAGCTGGTCTGAGTCGGGGGAGAATGTTTTTTTTTTCCAGCCACAAATTATTTGCCTAATAAGTTCTTCTAGGGCCACTAAAATGTTACAAAAGGTGCATAACCAGCTGACTTATACCAGGTCACCTCACTCAGTATTGTCTATGGCCTTCCACCTTGTTTTGTACTGTCTTAGTTCACCTTGCTCAGTATTGTCTACTTGCGCTAGCAGCTGTTGTTTGGAATGGTAAGTCTTTCCCAGGGATGCTGAACTGGGCGGGGTGTTACAAACAGACAAGCCATTAATTGGCAGCCCTTCCCTTTGTGAGGGCAATCCCCTGCCCTGCCCCCCCAAATTACAAAAGATGTTGCAGTCAGGAAACAGTCCACTGAATGGGGAAGAGCAGCTTTCTGAGGACTTACTTCCAGTACTGTTCACTGGGGACCTGGGTTTTTGCATACACGATGGAGTCATTGAGACATGTGAGGTTCCTGCTCTCAATCCAAGAGTAATTGGCATGGATCATGGTCCCGTCAGGCAAGGTGGCGTTGCAGTCCGACACTGAAGAGGAAGAACAGGCCATGAGGAAGGGCTGGTGAACAAGCAGGCTATCTTGGCTGCGGCAGTAGCTGTGGGCGTGATTAGCAGCTTTCATGCCATTACTAGCCAAATATATGTCCGTATATCTCTGTGGGTTGGGTTGGGGGTGGTAGGAGGGGCACCATTTGAAAACATGAACCTCTCCCACAACCCACAACCATGGGGACCTATGGAGCAAAAGCCATTAGCTTAGATTGTTACAAAAAGGAATGACTGATGGATTCCAAGCACCCTCGCAGATACAGATAGACTTTGAACTGTCTACATTGCATGGTCTCTGGCTTCCTCTAATGGCCAGTTCTGGCAAATACACACTGCAAATACATATCAATAGGTATTTCTGGGTTTTTGATTTAGTATCAAAAACCCAGAAAATAAGTGGATAAGTGAATCAGCAGATTCTGCAGATAAGCTGGTCCTACTGCATATAAATTCATGGAGAAGAAATATTACCAATGGCTATTAGAAACCAGACTATAAATTACTCCCAAACCAGAGACAGCATCCTTTTGGACCCCAGCAGGTAGAGAAAATGAGCTGGAGGCAGAATTTCACTCAGCTCCTGCCCGTGAGCTTCTCATTGGGGCATCTGATGGACTAAGGTGTGAGCAGAACAGAAGGCCAGACGGATATTGGCCTTGATCCAGATGGGCGCTCCTTGTGTTCTTATGATAGATCTGTAGCGCTAAGGGGAAAGAGCAGTGCGATGCCCCACGTGAGCTACCTTTCGGGGTCTTGCTGCACAATTCATCGGCCCAGGCTTCGTCGCAGTCTGACCAAGGGAGCACACTTTGGAAAGAGGCAAACAGGTAGTAGAGGCTGTAGCCGATGATGACATTGTAATAAATGGTCACAAACGTGGAGATGACGACCATGGTGACTCCGACTCCTGGGGAAGGAGAGGGGAAAAAAGGAAGGATCTCACCAGAAGGCAACAGCTGAGAAGCAAGTAAGACAAATTTGACCGTTTCACTTCCTGAAATGAACGTCAAGCCTTCCCTCCCCTCCCTGTCTTTAATTTAGTATCAATAACCCAGAAAATAAGTGGATAAGTGAATCAGCAGATTCTGCAGATAAGCTGGTCCTACTGCATATAAATTCATGGAGAAGAAAAATTACCAATGGCTATTAGAAACCAGACTATAAATTACTCCCAAACCAGAGACAGCATCCTTTTGGACCCCAGCAGGTAGAGAAAATGAGCTGGAGGCAGAATTTCACTCAGCTCCTGCCCGTGAGCTTCTCATTGGGGCATCTGATGGACTAAGGTGTGAGCAGAACAGAAGGCCAGACGGATATTGGCCTTGATCCAGATGGGCGCTCCTTGTGTTCTTATGATAGATCTGTAGCGCTAAGGGGAAAGAGCAGTGCGATGCCCCACGTGAGCTACCTTTCGGGGTCTTGCTGCACAATTCATCGGCCCAGGCTTCGTCGCAGTCTGACCAAGGGAGCACACTTTGGAAAGAGGCAAACAGGTAGTAGAGGCTGTAGCCGATGATGACGTTGTAATAAATGGTCACAAACGTGGAGATGACGACCATGGTGACTCCGACTCCTGGGGAAGGAGAGGGGAAAAAAGGAAGGATCTCACCATAAGGCAACAGCTGAGAAGCAAATAAGACAAACTCGACCGTTTCACTTCCTGAAATGAGCATCAAGCCTTCCCCCACCCCATCCCTGCATTAGTATTTCCTTGTAACAAACTGAAAAGGCTCTGCCCAGATTCTAGTGGGTTAATTATTTTGTCCTCTCTCTCCTTCTGGAGAAATTCAAGAAGATCAACTCTGGTAAGCTGAAATGCTCAGTTCCTCCTTCTTAAACCCAAAGTTGCTAAAATTTAAAGAACAAAACACCTGTTCACAAAACATAAAAAAGCAAAGTGTAATGCTTATATAACACCCCATAGCGCTAAAGCACTCTCTGGGTAGTCTATAATTTAATGATGTAGACTACATGTTGCCCCCACCCCACTAACTTGGGTGCTCAGTTTACTGACCTCAGAAGGATGGAAAGCTGGGTCAATCCTAAGTCAGCTACCTGGGATTGAACCCAGGACAAGGTAGATTTAAAAAAAAAAACCCTGCTAGCTACCACATTTGCTTGGCTTGCAGTTTTCGGGACCATCATCTCCTCCATCAGGTGCAAGCAGTACAAAACTTTGATTACACATTCCCAGATACAGAGCTCTGTGATTAAACCCTGTCTCAAGGTGAAGTGTGCCCTTCAGTGGCTTCAAACATCTACTCAGATGCTTGGGTTTCTACGTATTTGCCTGCTGTCCGGTGGCTGTTGCTTTATGTGTATCCTGATGGAGAATTCTGGACAACATGAAAGCTTGCAGAAGTGTCGTTCCTTGCAAGGAAGTGATTGCCCGTCCGTGGATTTTGTATCTGGTTTTATTCCATTTTATTTGGCATCCCTTTTCACAGACAGGAGCCGTGCTGGGTGAAGGATCCTGGGAATTGCTCTCCATGAATATAAATGTTCCAAGCTCCACTATTATACCTTTCCAGCACGAGAGGTTCCCAAGGGGGATTCTTCTCTCCCAGTTTATGCCCCGGTCTTCTTCAAAGAAGCTCAGGACATGGGGCACAGAAGGATTCCATTTCCTCTCCATGCCAGCCTTGTGAGGTTGACTTGTGAGGGAGATCATGCTTGGCACAAGGTGGTCCAAGTCGCTCCATATGAAACTACCTTCTTAGGGAGACCCCATGGGCTCCTTCCCTGCCGTTGTCCTTCCGCCGACAGGCAAAGACCTGGGTCTTCAGAAGAACTTTCAGCAGTTGGACAACTCCTGGCTTTTAACATTCTGCGGTTGTACCTTGGTGGGTAGGTTTTAAAAATTAAACAATTTTGCAGTTTGTAAAACTGCTTTCCCTCCCATGGACCCAGTGGGCCTGCTCTGTGGGGACTCCCTTTCTGGATTTGAGCCAACCTGTTCTGAATCCCAAACGGAGAGCCAGGAACGAGAGCCATTCCCAGGGACTTCTGTTTCACATCTCTTCCACTGCAGCAGAAACCAAAATGGGATTAAAAAGCAGTAAGAACAATGCCCACCTTGTAAAAGGGGTAGAATGCGCCAGATGGAAATCGGTCCCAAGCTGGCAAACTGCCCGAGGGAGCATTCCAGGAAGAACAAAGGCAAGCCGGCCAGCGCCAGCATGATGGCGTACGGTATCAAGAAGGCCCCTGCCAAGAGAGCAACGTGGTGATGAGATTCCCGATCCTGCAGCCCTCGGCAGGAAGACATGCAATGGCAACAAGACACACAATGCTTTGAAGGACAATGGCCCCTCCGGGGGGAACAAAAGGATTAACAGCACAACGGAAACAGCCAGAACAAAGGAGCAAACAGGTCCGCAGGCGGCACTCTCTGGCATGTGGCGGATTTCTGTTGGTACAACAGGACACCCAGCTTTGGAGTGCTGTGTAGAGTCTAAAGGCTGCCTGCTGTTATGCCAACAGAGGTTGGCATGAGGTTGAAAATACAGACAGGATGGGTTGCCAGACAGGGCAGCTTCCCAAACTGAATTGGGTTTAATCTGCTCAGGAACTGGAGGTTCATCAGCCTGACAGACTTAGGAGGGCATGGAGCCAGGATGAAGTAGGGCTGAGCATCAGTGGTGGAGGTGCACTGTGCATTCAGCAGAGCTAAGAGGTCTGTGCTGGAGGGGAGGGTGTTCAGGACAGCGCCCGTGCCGTCCTGGCCATGCAACACTTCTAAGCTATCCTCCTCCTAACCTGAATACAGTACAAGCAAACAAGGGTGTACTTGAAAAATGCAAAAGTGGGCTTTAGGTATTCCACTCATTTTTGCAGACATGGGAAAAGGCACAGAAATGGAGATTGGTACCATAAAGCTGGAATCGCAGCTTCGTGTTTTTAAGATTTAGAAGATCTGTGCCTGCAAAATGAGGCCAGCAACCAGACCCAACAAAAGCTTGAAAAAGCATTTGCTGAAAGATAATGGCCTTTGTAGTCCAGTGCATGAAACCACCAAGGCCCATAAGGCTTAACTGGGATGGTCATCATGAGAGGGGAAGAGCTGCAGTGAGTTTGCTATCACTCCCCATTACTAATAAACCAGAACAAATTATGACTAATAGAACAGAGGAATGTATAAAAACATAATCGCCCATAAGTGTGTGAAATTACGAGCCTGTCAAAGAGCATTGTGTGCCTATTCTATTAGTCATTCATGCTCTTAGGGATGAATGGGGTGAGGGAGAAGGGCCTTTAGGAAAGCTCCACCTGGTTGTTCACCAGCGTAGATTTTTCGGCTCACCCCAGGTGACCCGCTGAGCAGTTGTTCCTTCTGACAAGCCAACCAGCTCTAAGCAGGCCATGTCAGGAGGCTGTTCTGTGGAAACTTTCTTGATGTGGACACAGAGAGCAAACGAAGGGACTCCTACCTCCTCCGTTCTGATAGGTCAGGTACGGAAACCGCCAGACATTCCCCAGCCCGACCGCGTAGCCGACCATGGAGAGGAGGTAGTCCGTTTTGCTGGACCAGTGTCCTCGCTCGGCGTTCTCGTCATCTTTCTCTGCAATCCTCTCTGTGGACAGGGTGAATTCCTTTGGGAAAGAGAAGAGTCGAGAGAGACCGGTTCACGAACCCATCCATATGTTTGCCTCCTGACACGTTGTCCCAGAAAGCAAGAGCCAGTGGGATCGACTGAGGGGCTAGGACTCAGGAGACCTGGTTCAAATCCCACCTTGGCCACAGAAACTCTCTGGGATGTAGCAATGGTAAAGCCATTCCTTGAACATTTCACATACTTTGAAAGACTAGGTTAAGATCACTGCAAGTCAGATGCAGCTTGACTGCAGAGGAGAGCAAAAGCTGAGCAACCCCTCCCCTCAAGAGGGGAGTCAGACTCAGTTTTTACAAGCTCCTTATGTTTCACTGATGGAGATCCCTTCTCGCATCATACCTTTCCATCTCACACCATCTTTTCAACGTCCCTTCGACCTGCACCTACAAAGCTTCCTTACACGCCACCAACTAGAAAATTCAACCCAAGGGCTGAGTTCCATTTCTAAGATGATCTTCGGGCAGCTTCCTGTGGTGGGTGGGGCCAAAGGGAAAAGGGGAGGGTCCCGAAGCTCCTCCTAGAAGTATTCCTGCCAATAATCAGGAAATGTATTGGAACTTTTAGGAACAGGGGTGCATCTGCTCAGGGAATCCCAGAAGGCTGGATTGGATCTCAGGCCACAAGATTGCCAGTGTGGCACTAAAGGATGTTTGAGAGACTGGTACACAAGAAAGGGGGATACAATGAAAGCAAGGATAAAGGTGACTTGAGCCTCAACTGGGGCTGTGCATGGTTCCCTCTGATTTGGCTTAGAGGTCAATTCAGGGTTTTGGAATGAACCCCGATTTAGTGCGAAGTGCCCATGATCTTAATAGATTTGAAAAGATTGCTTTTTTGCTTTTTGGAAAAAAAGGAGATACTCAAAAACAATCATGGCCTGTCAAGTCAATTTGACGTCTGGTGACCCTTTTCAGGGTTTTCCAGGTAAACAGTCCTCAGAAATGGTTTCCCATTCCTCCTATCAAGATGGGACGGTGCAGCTGGCCCAAGGCCACCCAGGCTGGCTTGGTCTCCCAGGAGAAACAGTGGGGAATCGAACCCCCAGCTCTGTAGCCAGATACCTAAACTACTGAGCTGTCCGGCCAGCCTGGGTGGCCTTGGGCAAGCTGCACAAGATACTCAGGAGGGGAATAAATCGGTTCCATTTCTTACAGCCCACTTCAAGGTCTACCAAGCTTTTTAAAACCTTGCTTCCCTCCAGAGGACATCTGGAGCAATTTGCACCCCATCCAGTTAGATTTCTGCTCTGGATCCCAAATGAGATGTAAATCCAGACCCTGACCCAAACCTGCCCGTTCTTGCTTCGGTCTGCATTTCACCGGGCCCCCATCCTGGTTTTGTTTAAAATCCCGGCTTTCGCACCCAGTACACAGCACCGCTAGCCAGCTGAGTTACTGGGCAGTGGAGACAGGAGAAGACCATGTCCCTCAAAGCTTCCAGTGGCCTCCCCTTTGCCCCAGATGTGAGAAACCCTGGACATTTGGCCCCTCCATCTCCTCTAATAAAAGCTCCTCTCTCTTTTTTTTCCAGCAGCAGAAAAGAAGCCAGAGGACCGGATTCCAGGACATCCCCAGGGCGAAGCCAGCCTGAGGAAGTCAGGAAGAAGTCATCGCAGGTGTGTGTGTGTGTGTGTTTTCCTTTCCTTTCCTTCTGTTGCTTTGTTTGTTTCCCGGAGGAGAGGGAGGACTCGACGGGCATCATCCCCGTGTGGGCTTCCACCCGATGAGCTGGCACCGGCGATTCCGGCGATTATGGGTATTATCCTACTTAATGGCAGCTCCTGTGGCTGCGGCCGCTTCGACAGGGCATCCTGCAGGACCACATGCCACCAAGCCCGCCTCTTCTGGCAAACACGTGGGAAGATGATTCCTCGCCCCACAGGGTTTATCGCCCCTGCTCCGGTCCCGTGGACGCCCGTGGTCGGCCGCTAAGCGTTCGCTCCTCAGGCCGGGGACCTGTAAAGCCCGGGTACCAAGGGCACGTTGCCCTGGGCCAGCGGTGGCCTCCAGCGCATCTCCTGGCTGTTCAGAGGGACCTCCTCCTCCTCCTCGCCGCCGCCGCCGCCGCCGACGACCCTCTGTGGTCCTCTGCGGAATCTTAGCTTCTCAGGGCAGGAAGGCTGACGCTTTAGAAGGCGCCCCGCTTCCCAGGGTGTTTTAATTGCATTTAAGACCCCCCGCTCCTTCCCACGGCTGGCACGGCTGGCCTGTTAAGCGTCAGCTCCCGGGGCAGAGACCTTCCCCTTTGGAAAAGAAGGGGCCTTTGTGGGCGCCTCCGGATCGGGCGCATTCTAGGGGTCTCCGGAACCCCTGGAGTCCCGGCATCTCAAAAGAAAAAGAGGGGGGGGGAATTGTCTTTTTTGGAAAGACAAGGCTGGGAGGGGAGGCGAAAGGGGGAGAAGCTCTCTGCGGTCCCCTTATGCCCCCCAGCTCCGGAATCCTACAATCCCCAGAGGCAAGGATGCCCGGCCGGGACTTTCCTGGGCTCTCCTTCCCTCCTTCGGCTTTCCTCCTCCTTGCGCCTCGGCTCAAGATCCGCAGGTTGGTCCTGGGGCGACCGCGCGCGTCCCCGTCCCGCTCCGTCCTCTGGTCCCGGC